TCCTTCCGCCTCAGCCTTCCAAGTAGCCGGAATTACAGGTGCGCGCTACCACGCCCGGCTAATTTTTAAAAAATTTATTGTAGAGATGAGGTCTCACCCAGTTGCCCAGGCAGGTCTCGAACCCACGGGCTCAGGCAATCCACTCACCTCAGACTCCCAAGGCGCGAGATTACAGGCTGAGCCACCGAGCCCGGCTAAGTTCCTACTTTTAATTCTTTTGAGTACATACCCAGAAGTGGGATTGCTGGATCCTATGATAATTTGGTTTTTAGTTTTTTGAGCACCCACAATATAGTTGTCCATAGTGGCTACACTCTTTTACATTCCCACAGACAGTGCACAAGCGTTCTGATTTCCTACAACCATACTAACACCTGTTATTTCCTTCGCCTCCTTCTTCCCTTCCTTTTTCTTTCTCCATCTCCCTTTCTTTTTTTTTCCTGGATGGCAGCATCCTAATGAGCGCTCTGCATTCTTGAGACTTCTTTATGCTTTCCCACAGAATGAAGAATCTTCCGATCTCTGAGAGAGTCTATGATCTCTGGGATGTGTGTATCAATCTTTTGTGCCAATCTTTATTTTCTATTATTCATACACAAGCCACAACCTACCAAGGGTATGTGACCATGAAAAAATTCCCAGCTCCACCAGCAGGCCAGGCCTCTAGGTGCCCTGTTCTCTGAGTAAAGGGGCTGTGGATGTTACTGCTAAAATCCAAGTGGTCAGCTTGTGAGGGCGGCTGGTGCCAGTAGGAGGCAGGGCTTCCCCGAAATGTCTCACACCTGTTCATATGATTCATGATTGGAGGACACTTTGGTCCACAACTTCCAAGATGACACACTCAGGGGAGAGCGGAGACAGAAAAGCGGCTTGATGTAGTGGTGTTTTAGAACAGGGACCAGAAAGGTGGGTAGGATGTAGTAGTAACAAAATCATATAATAATTCAAATTGCTCTAGTATGTATACTGCTTCCAGCATTTTCACTCGTGTTCATCTATTTATGAGCATTCCTTGGCAACGTCACTGCTTATCAGTGGGCACAACCTTCCTAGGGCAAAAGAGGAGGGAAACAGAGACAGCAGCCATGCTCTTTTGAGTCCCATTGATATAGCAACCACAGGACACTAAAGCCAGAAGGAACCCTGGAGATCATTTGATTCAATATTTACTTCCCAGCCGAGGAAACCGACGAGGTGGCTTTTGGGAAGATGGAGGTAGAACACGACCCCCTTCTCCCCTCAGTAAGTACAATTTGGGAGGTGCTGGAGTTGGAAACCACTGACATGTTTCTGTGACAGACTTGGTTCCATTGTCAGTCCTTAACTTATACCCTACATTGGCTGCTTTCTGATTTTACTCCGCAAAAGCCTCTACATTCTATGATCACCTGAGTTGACTGTTCTATAAGTACATTGTTTTATAGCTGAGTTTAATATATCCGCATCAATTAGTTGCAGATAAAAGAGAATGGGCTTGTGTCACCATCCTAACAAGGGGTAGGTGCCCAGAGATAGCCCTCCTTTTCTCTACTCCTGCCACTCAGGAGACTGAAGTCAATATGAAAACTGGACAGAAATGGCACTGCTCATGCATGAGAAGGAGGGCGGCTCCTCGCCACTCTAGGCACAGATCATGTGGAGAATGCTCTGTGTACGTGAACCAACAGGAAATGTGGCTCTGTGTCCATGCAAGGGCCTGACAATGTCCCTCATCACATGCAGGACTCCCAAGCCACCGGGAATGCCGGGAATGGCCTCCCAAATGGGAGTGGGAGCTGCAGAAGGCCAGAGAGCACCCCTGTTTTGTGGCAGCAGCGCTGAGTGAGTCCAGTAAGACCACCACTTAATATGTAGGAAGCTAAGTCCAAGAAAAGTGAGCATCCTTATGGTCTATGGGTGGCAAGGCCAAGAAAATTCCCTATTCTGATTTCCATGTCCTTACTAACTTCTACACTGGAGAAATGTTTCTGCTGTGCTGCTATTTTGCTAGGGGCACTTTAAGGAAGACAGCAAAAATCACAGTGGGTTTTTGCTAGGGGCACTTTAGGAAAGAGAGCAAAAATCACAGCGGGTTGTACCAAGAACCCTGCAGCATGCAATGCTGTGGTGGTTATGTAACCATGGGACCAGCTCAAACTAATCAGCCATTGCTTGAGTTACAGGTGATGTAGAGCCACAACTGCCAGGCACACTTGGGGAAAAAGCATTCACCTCCTAACTGCTAAACCCACTCGCCTGGCAGACTGGCTGTCCTGGCATCACCTGATACTAGTCAGAAATGCCAGGAAAGCTTGACCCACCCCAGATCGTTGAGACAGAGGTGAGAGTTGCCTTCTGTCTCCTTCCCAGTCGACTCACAACAAAGCTCTTTCTTTTCTTGAAAGCTAGGATCACAGTGTTGGCTTCTATGTGTGGGGAGGCAAGCCCATTGCTCGGCAAAAGTGACATAAGAACATGGTTCTCAAGCTCCCACTTCTTACACCAAACCAAAATACAGTGCAGTGAGTGAGGGGCTTGAGGCTTCTTATCTGTAGGTGGAACTTGGCAGGTGAAGGCAGCTTACAGCCATTATAATGTGGGCAGCACATTCCACACATCCCCTGGACAGAGTCATGCTGGGTTTTGCATTAAATTACTCAGAAGCTTCAAAATCATTCCTGCTCCCCTTCAATTCTCCTCTGGGCCACTCTTAGAGATTTGGACATGACTGGAGTGTGTCGTACTCTTAGGTGTGCCAGGGCAGAGAAAGTTTAAGAACCATTGATATAGCCTCACAGTAACTAATCACAGCTGTGCACACAGATGATCATTTCCTAGCACCTTCTAAAGCTTTTCTAGACCAAAAGAAATATAATGCAAGTCACATATGTAATCTTAAATGTTCTATTTGCTACATTAAATAAGGAGAAAGAAACAGGTAAAACATTAATAGCATATTTAACTCAATAGAGCCAAAGTCTCATCCTTTCAACAAATAGCAAACATAAAATTTATTATACATATATATGTATATAAACATAAATACTAGAGGTGTACTAAGTGTTCAAAATCCGGTGTGTATTTTATACTCACAGCACATCTCAAACTGCTATCAACCACATTCAAGTACTTAACAGCTACACGCAGCTAGTGGCCGCCAAACTGGACAGCAAATCTGGACTGTTTTTACAATTTTCAGGGCTCCAGCCCTACCCTTGCCTCTCTCATTGTCGTATGTTTGCTCCAACAGAGAAATTTCTTCATAATGCAGCTATTCTTGCCTGTCTCAGGGTCCTTTCCTGTCCAGGTTTAATGTGTCCACTCTGTCTTATTGCATCCCAACTCTCCCCGATTGACCATTCAGCCATCATGTCGTCATTACTGAGTGCCACCAAGTGCCATCAGTTATTTGTGTTAACTGATAAGGACCAAAAAATAAACATGACATAGACCCTGATTTCTAGGGCTCTAAGCTTAGTGGGGAAACACGCAAAACATGAGAATGTGGGGACACTATAGAGACACATGCAATGGGACACAGGAAGGAAGGAGCACTGTTTCTCTAGAGATCCTGCAAGCATCATAGCCATGGACATCGGGCTGGGTTTTAAGGGGTGAGAAAAATTGGGGAGGGGCAGGGAAAAAGTGTTTTAGGCAAGACATGAGTTGAATGGTCGGCATGCTTGGGAATGGCCCATGTCTAGGAGGAAGAACATGAAAAGTGCTTGGGGTGAGGACTGCTAACAGGAGAGGCACTGTGGGTAATCATTTGGGCAGGAATCTCTGAGTAGGGAAATGTGCTGAGTTGTAGCACAGATCGGAGAGGATGAAGAGAGTATGAACAAATGGGAATGGTGGTGTGTCAGAAAAGAGGGGGCATGTGCCCCACATGGACATAGGACTGCTCTCTGAAGCTGGTCTCAAAACAAGCATCATGGTGAAACCCAGGTCAAAGCTCGATTATTAAGGCGTCCTAGGCCCAGACTCACCATGCAAAGGGCACTAGGGCCACTGCATGGTATTTACAAAGGACTATCATGAAGTACCCTTGCCCTGAAGGAATTAATATGGCTCCTTATAGGTTAACTTAAGTAGTAGGCAGAATCAAGGTGAAATTCTTCCACAACTGCTAGGAAAGTCATACCCATGAAACCTGGCAAAGACACATGCATGAGACCCAGTAAAGTCCCACCCATGAGACCAGGCAAAGTCACACTGAGGAGACCCCACAAAATGACACCCGTGAGGCCTGCAAAGTCACACTCATGACACCTGTGAGACCTGCAAAGTCACACTCATGAGACCTGGCAAAGTTGTGAGAAAGAGAAGGTGCTGGCAGCACCTGGCCAGCCTGAGCAGACACTGTGTTGGCTCACACTACTCTAGAACCTAACCGTGTCTGACTTGATCGTGAGGTTTTCTGGAAGAAGGCTGCAGAGCTCTCAGATAAGAACAGGGCACCAACCTGACATCCACAGTGAGAAGGAGCTCAGAGATCCCCAGGTGTTCCTTGGAGATGGGGAAGCTGAGGCAGGGAAAGTGAAATGGCTTCAAGGCCACTCAGGTGGGAGAGCCAAGAACAGAATTCATCTTTCTCACCTCCTAAGCTGGTGTTCCTTTCACAGATTAGTGGGAGACACGTCATAAAGCATGGTTTACCTTCACAGGGACTCAGGAGGAGAAAGGGGAAGCTGGGCTAGAGACAACGCTAGATGACAAAGAGTCTCTGAGCCAAGAGCCTCGGCGTGACTGCCGTGCTGGGTACTCACACGGAGAGGAGTCTACGAAGTTCGGGTCAATGTTATGCAGAAGCTCCACTCTCGGGGACGGGCTTCCTTCACTGGAAAAGAATTGCGTGGAAAATGTTACTGTCCTCTCTCAAACAGGCATAAGTTATCTTAACACTTCCCTTCTTAGTACTTGAAGGGCCACCGCCAGGCGTTAGCAAACCATATCCCCTCCCTTTTCCTGGAAAGGGGCCCCAAACCAGCCCCCGCCTAAAATGGCGACCCGGCAAACAAAGGGGGCACCTGAAACGGCACCTTCCGGGTTCTTCTTCCACAGTCCGGTTCACCTTTTCCCGCGCCCGCGAAAAACCCACCAGCCTGGATGGAGCTCTGCCAGCTGACCTATAAACGACTGACAGGTCGCCCTAAGCCCCGATAAAAGCCGCCGCGCCCTTGCCTTGGCGCTACAACCTGACCCTCAGGTCCGGTAGCCCCCGCGTTCGACCATTAAATCTCTTGGCCTTAGCGGGAGTTGAGTCTCACTGTGCGCCGCCGTCTTTCATTGGTGCTGTGACACGGACCGGGTTCCTCTCACCTAATGTGGGACCCCGTTCCAGCGCTGGTGGGACTCAGCCCTTAAGGCCTTTGCCCACTTTCTTGAACGCCAGCGCTGCATGCGTCACTGGCCCTCAGATCGGTAAGTGCCCCTAACTGGAAAGCCTGAAACCTTGCCTGGGATAACCGGAGGAGACTGACCGTTGCGGGTCCAGCAGCTCTTCCGGCCCCAGACAAGGTGGGGACTACACCCCGCCTAGGTCTTTAAGGCCACAGCAGACCCCGACTGGTTTTCCCCTCTCCTGTTTAGGTCTTTAAGGCCACAGCAAACCCTGACTGGTTTTCCCCGCCCTCCCCGTGAGGAATTTTGAGACTGCCCCCTCCTGCCGTCGGGTTTTGGGCATCCTCTTCGCTAAAAATCCTGGTACCAGGTTCCCCTCAACCTCGTCGATTCTCCAGGAGAATCGCGGGTTGTAATAACATCCAGTGACGACAGGCTTTATTGCAACCTCCTCATATCCTGACAGCCGGCTGTCCAGGGGACGCCCTGCTCAGCCCCAGTTGTTCAAATGGGAAACTCGTCGTCCCTGCCCCGCGGCCGACTCTCCCCTCAAATGCCTCTTAGACAACCTCTCCACTCTCTCTCTCTCACTCCCGACATTAAACCCAAGCGACTGATCCGCTTCAATACCCAAGACTGTCCCACCTATCGCTTAGACAACCGAAATAAGTGGCCCCTACGGGTCCCTAAACCCCGACATTATAGGGACCTCTATACCTTCTGCGAGCATTCAAAAGAGTGGGCAGAGATTCCCCTCCCTCCCCCGTCCCGCTTACGCCACCACCTCCCTCCTCAGTCTCTAACTTCAACCCAGCAGATAAACTTCCTCCCTATCGACAAACCTCTTCCACTCAGACCCCTCCCTCCGGTATCTGCTCCGGCCTAACCTCCCGTCCCCTCTCCTATAACCGACTCTTCCTCCCAGCCCGCCATCTCTAATTCCTTTGTCCTCAGCTCCAGTTGTTCCGGGCTCCCCTCCCCCATCCACTTCCTTCCCTGCTGCCACTCGTTTGGACCCTTCCTCACCGCGGGGCTTCACAGTCTTAGCTACCCACTTTATCACCCAATCCACTCCGGACATCTGGCGCAAGCTTAAAAAGGCAGAGGAGGGCCCCCAGACTCCACTCTGAGACCAGGTAAATATGGCCTTTAAAGTTTATACTGCCTGAGAGGAAAAAAGCCAAGGCCGTGCAGGACCAGAGGCTAAAACAGAAAGTGGCCCTTCAAACCCAAGCCCTGGCCACTGCCCTGCGGCTGGTTTAACAGGGACCTCAAAGCCCCCGTCCCAGGAAACAGTCCGAGACCCAAACACCTTTGGGATCCCAAACACCTTCAGGAGTGGCCAGGAAGGCCACTGGGCAGAACAATGCCCAACCCCAGACCACCGACTCGACCTTACGCGGTCTGCAGACAAAAGGGACATTGGAAGTTTGAGTGCCCCCTGGGGGAAAACCATCCCCCGGTGACAGAGTTTCACGGGGGGCCGGCTCCCCCAGTGGGCCCCTCACCAGAGCTTCTGGGCCCCCTGGACGACTAAAGCCGCCTGGACTCGAACACCCCAATCACCCTTGCCGAGCCCAGGGCCACACTATGGGTAGCGGGTAAGTCCATCTCCCTTTTGGTGGACACAAGGACTACCTATTCTGTTTTACTCTCCTTCCACGGGCCTTTACATCCTTCTCAGGTCTCGGTTGTGGGCGTCTCGGGGGTGCCCTCCAAGTCGCTGGAGACGAGTCCGGTGTCCTGCCTTTTAAAAGTCGTCCCTTCACCCATTCTTTCTTAGTTATCCCATCCTGCCCAGCCCCTTTGCTGGGACAAGACCTTCTGTATAAGCTCGGGGCACCTATCTGCCTCACCTCACACCAAGTTCCCCCGAATCCGCTCCTGACCCTCGCCTGTGCTGTCTTCCTCCCAGAACCTTCATCCAATTTCCCCATTTCCCCCCAAAAAGTTAATCCAGTAGTCTGGGACCAATCACCACACCCCAGTCCTCATTCGCCTTAAAAATCCCTCTTGCTTCCCTTCCAGGCCTCAATTTCCTATCTCACACGCCCATCGCAAAGGCCTCCAGCCCGTTGTTAACTGGCTGCTCCTCCAGGGTCTTCTGGTTCCTACCAACTCCCCTTATAATACTCCCATCCTCCCAATAAAAAGCTGTCTGATACTTATTGACTGGTGCAGGATCTGCAAATAATCAACTCTGCCATAATACCGCTGCATCCAGTGGTCCCTAACCCATATACTCTCCTATCTCAGATACCCCCCACTACCACTCATTTCACAGTTCTGGACCTTAAAAATGCCTTCTTCACCATCCCTCTACATCCAAACTCCCAGCCACTCTTTACCTTTACTTGAGAAAATCCAGACACCCGCAGGACCCAACAATTAACCTGGACAGTCCTGCCTCAGAAATTCCATAATAGTCCCCACCTTTTCGGCCAGGCATTGGCCGAGGACCTATCCTCTTATGGCTCTAGGTATAACACTCTCCTCCAGTATATAGATGACCTCCTCCTGTGCAGCCCCTTCAGGGGAGGTCTCTCTCTGGGATACGGCCTCCCCCCTTAACCTTCTAACACAGCGGAGATACAGGGTCTCCTCTTCCAAAGCTCAACTCTCTACCCCACAAGTCACCTACCTAGTCACCCTGACCCCCACCTCCAAGGCCCTCACAGCGGACCACACCACCTCCATCAGGAAACTCCTACCCCCCATCTCAAATGCTAAAATCTTGTTGTTCCTTGGGTTGGTGAGCTTCTTTAGGCATTGGGTCCCCCATTTCGCTATACTTGCTAAACCGCTATATGCTGCAGCTAAGGAAACTCCCACCAGCACCCTCACATCTCCCTCAGCTGTAGCCCACACCTTCAAAACTTTGCAAAACGCACTCCTAGGCCCACCCCCGCACACACGCTTATGTTTCCTGACTTCCGCAAGCCTTTCCTCCTGTTCACCGAGACTGGGATCCTCACTTCACATTTACAAACAGCTCTCCTCCCAGCTGATCGAGGACATACAACAGGTGGCGGACACGGTTCTAGACTTACAAACATAACTAAATTCCCTGGCTGATATGGTCCTCCAAAATCGATGGGGACTAGACCTGCTTACAGCAAAAGAGGGAGAAATATGCTTATTTCTTAGGAAAAAATGCTGCTTCTATGCCAATAAATCAGGGATAGTCAAGGACAGAATTAAACAATTACCAAAAAACCTTCCAAAAATGGAGAAAAGACCTGACCGGAGGCCCATTCTCAGGATGGTGGCAACCACAACTCCTAATGTGGCTTCTCCCTGTTCTAACTCCACTAATTGTCATATTTATCCTCTTGTCGATGGCCCCGTGTGTTTTTAGGTTTCTCCAACAGCACCTGGCAGAGCTCTCTCAAATAACGGTCAACCAACTACTGTTACGTTCCTACTTGCCCCTTCCGTCCAAACCACCTCCGGCCCCATACCAGCCTTAAACCCCCCCACGCCGCCCCTCCCCAGCAGAAAATAGCTAGAACGAGCCGGCACCCCTATGACCAAAAGGCTACAGACCTCTAACCTTGTCTTCTCATTTCAGACATGCTCGCCTTAAAGTTTACCCCCTACTACCTACCACTCAGATTCTCAGCATTTCTTGACCACCTTCTTTGTGACAGTTGGCTCTTCCCTTTCCCATGTCCACTCGACGACTGGCCAGACCAGCTTGTCGGTTTCCACTTACAAGGCATCTTCCAGGACTTCCACTCAAATAAAATTTTTTCTTTTGGTTCCTACGTGGCTTAGACTTTCACCCACCTCACCCACCGATGCCCATTGTCAGCAGGAAGCAGCTAGACAGAGAAACGCCGCCTCTCTCCCGTATAACCAAAGAGGCGGGAATGAAGGGCCACCACCAGGCGCTAGCAAACCATATCCCCTCCCTTTTCCTGGAAAGGGGCCCAAAACCAGCCCCCGCCTAAAATGGCGACCCGGCAAACAAAGGGGGCACCTGAAACGGCACCTTCCGGGTTCTTCTTCCACAGTCCGGTTCACCTTTTCCCGCGCCTGCGAAAAACCCACCAGCCTGGATGGAGCTCTGCCAGCCGACCTATAAACGACTGACAGGTCGCCCTAAGCCCCTATAAAAGCCGCCGCGCCCTTGCCTTGGCGCTACAACCTGACCCTCAGGTCCTGTAGCCACCGTGTTCGACCATTAAATCTCTTGGCCTTAACGGGTGTTGAGTCTCACTGTGCGCCACCGTCTTTCAGTACTTGTAGGGAATAATAAACCTACCACTTAACAACTCTGTCAGGAATCTAGAGGTCTCCAAAAATCTGTGATTAATGCATCTTCAAGTAGTCACCATTTGATCACATTAAAAAAAAAAAAAAACCACTACATACTTTGCACAAGAACTTCAGTGTCAGGCATATGATGATATTAAAATAAAGAGTCCCGGGACCCTTTGCAATAAGTACTGTGGCTGTATTTAAACATGATCTTTTTTTTTTTTTTTTGAGACA